GAAAATATGAAATTTCATTTTGCCGACTGCCGCCGACGCGTTGCATGCAACAATGGCGTCAAAGCAGCGGCAAATATGCACGGACACCAGCGGCAAACGGCCAAGAAGAACACAGCCGGGAATTTAAATGGTCGCCCATATGGGACAGCTCTAGGAAAAAAGCCATAGCCACGAAATGGGACGAGCAAAGTGCATTAAAATGTTGTAAATTCGAATTATGATATTACATTTTAGTCAAGTGGAGGCGAGAGAGCTCGAAATGAAAGCCAGATGCCAGCACGAAATGGGAGCTAATAAATACAAATGAGTGATCGTTAAATAGAAAACATCGTGATGGGGATCAGTTTAAGCTTAGAGCGCTATAAAAATGATCAAGAACTTTCCTCTAGTTTAATACAATGCTTGAGGTTTTACTGTCGAGTTCCTACTTTATCGATCGTTAAAAGGTAATTTGGAAAAATAAGATTATGCCAAATACAAAGGAAAAGTCAGGAAAATATTTCAAAGTATTTGTCTGCGTAAAAGTACAGGGTAATTGAGGGGTCATAAAAGTTTCAAAAGGTTGGGGGGGATGCTCTTAAGCACAGAATTTTATGATGGCCTAAAATATATTCTAAAAAATCATGGAGAATTGATTTGTAATTAGAAAAAAAGCGCTGAAGGAATTTCAAAACTCCTTTGTAGATCGCACAAGCTTTAGTACTCATTAAATATGGAAGGCCAGTCTGGAAAAATAGTTAAACAAATTTAATATCTAATAAATAAAGCTAATAAATATTTTTTTGGAATATGTTAGACAGTAATAAAACTATAATGATGAGGAAATGTTGTAACCTGCTAAAACCAGCAAATGCTAGACAGTTTAAGTAATTAATCTAAATCAATAGACCATGCCCAAGGCTATGCAAATTTGGCAATAACTCAAAAGCAATTCCCCCACTGAAATTGGTTTCTGTTTACGATCTCTGATTTTAATTGCAGTGCTTGCAATTTTCTGCTCCCTGCTGTGGTTATTTTCATTTATCGAACCATTAATATCAAATCATATATGGAATTCTCAAAAGTCTATGACAGTTTTCGCAACAATAAAACAAAAACTAACCAAATTACTTGAACTCAAATTACGTTGATCGTGTGTTTTGTAATTAACATTTCATAAATTTGCCATCGCGATAAGGAAATTTTTTCCATTAAGAATCAATTAAAATGAAAAAAAAAATATAGAGCTGTCTGAAACTATCGCGATTGGACCACTTTTCACACTAGATATAAGATAAAGTTGGCGGCGCACTCTTCGTAATGTGTGGCAATAAAAGAAAAATGTATATTTATTGAAATAGCATAATTCACATGAAAATGCCAATAAATTGTCAGGAGATTATGCGGTCGGCTCCATTAAAAAATGAATAAAAATAAATATATATATGTGGTGCACAAATAATATAGATATACATAGTATGGGCTGAGCGATTTAATCGCTGCCCGAGCTCGGTTAATGAATTGAATTGAGCTGGAAAAACCCAAGTGGGCAGTCGCCAAGTGGGCCGGCACTCGTTGCTCCGTAGGCTTTGCGCTTTTTGATCTACTCTAGATTGGCACTTTTAGCGTAGCGCCATGGATACCATAGCGCCTGAGAAATAATAATAATAAAAATTATGCACTTGCCACTGCGCAAAAAATTTGCATAGACATACGACTCTATTTCGGTGCGGCTTGCATATCTTTCACTCTGTCCATTTAATCGCCATCTATGTGGGTTACTCATGGCATCTGGCAAAAAGGCAATCGAGCGTGCCAAATGGAATTTTTGTAAGTAATTGAAAAATTTGTATAATTGAAATGCAGTTGGGGGTGGGCAGTATGTGTAGGCGCCATCTGGAGGGCATGCGCTGGACTACTGAAAAATGTCCTTAAGGATAAGGGTTGGTGTATGTGCTGACTGCAAGGATACGAGTTATACAATCTGAGCTTTGGTGGTAGGAAAATAAAATCAAGGGTATTTATAAGCTTTAAGGGGTCAAAGAGAAAGACGATGTTGGTGTTACCAGCTCAGGAAAATTATGACTTATGTTCATGAAGAGGAAGAACACTTGGCGCCTTGATTCAAAAATGTTGCATTTTTGACCATAAGGATCCCAAAATATAAACTTTTAGAACTATCTTAAAAGATCTTTTAAAAATAGCACTCTGTGTCTTGGTACTACATTCCTGATCTTTCAAAGGGTTTTCTTTTGTAATCTTTCACCCACAAAAGTAAGCTGAAAATTCCCTTAAAAGAATTTTCCTTGAAAACATCTTCTTACTCATGTGGGAAACTCTACAAAATGTTTTAGATTTTCTTGGGTAATCCCGCACTTAACTTAACCCTGGGAAAATGATAGGAATTCGGCCGACTGAAACTCCTATTGATTTATTGGCATAGAAGGCGAAAAGCTTTAGAAGAATGGACAACAAAAAGAAGCATTTTAATGTAATATGTTGTAAAGCCACCACACGAAAATCACCCATACCGACCACATGCTGGTGTCCCAAATGCATTAGGGGAGCCCACGAGAAAAGCGGAGCCGCCTAAAAGAAAATAAACAAACACAGCAACGCCCGCATTCCAAGGAAAGCGCCAGCAGCAGCAGCTGCATGAAAAACAGCGACTAGTAACAGCAACTACACTGGAAAAAATACATATATTTTTAAATTGGTGCTAAAATATTTATTTAGCATCTTTGCAACATCATTTTGCATATTCTTTGATTTCAACGAGCATTTTAGATTAGAATAGATAATAAATAGTACTTTTTATTAATTAACCGATTGCTAAAAGAAAGTAGTATTACTTTTATGAGGTATTTTTGTGAAAAGCTGCTAATTTCTTGCTACGAAGTACATATATAAGCCATAGTATATTTCAAGTAATATATTTTCCCAACTAAAAATACATAACAATCTAAAAATATTCCGTTTGGAGGAACTTTAAAAGTGTATTTTATTATTTTAATATTAAGTTTAGAATTTCGTTTAACATTGTTGTGGGATATTGTTTTATGTGTAGCATCGGCTGCAACTAGCAGCTTGCAGTCACACACAAGTCAAAGAAATTTGCTGTTAATTCACGTATTAACCTTTTGACATTTGGCAGCATCGCCAGCGACGACGATGCCGAAGTGGAAAAAAGGAAAACAAGTCGACAAAATTCCAATATGGGGAGACAGAGCCGCCGGGGAAAATTCAAGGGGCAGGGCGGTGGGCGGGGACGGGGAGCAGGGCTTGGGCACATCTGCCATGGAAAACTGTGTCAATGTGCCAGCAACAACAGCAAATACAGGGAAAACTCTTGCCAGGGCGTCGGTTTTCCACATTTGGGTGTGTGTGTGTGTTGTTTGTGTGAAGATGTTGGCATGTGGGAGGGCACAAGCTGTGATCGGCGGTCGGTTCGCTGCCACGCCAAATGGAAAACTGCATTGGCTATAAGTCATCCAATAATCGAAGTTACAGATACCTCTATAAAAAACAAAAACATATTTTCTAAATAAAATAATATTCTTTGACCATTTGTTTTCAAGAATTATGTAAAAACCATCTTAAGATGTTAACGACAAATATAAAAAGTTTCATTAGAACTTAGAAGAAAACAAAAAAGGATATATAAATCCAGTTCCACTAGAACTTAGAAGAAAACAAAGGTCATCTAAATCATTTTTAAATTTCCAAAAAATTAACAACGACATAAACAAGTATTTTCTTTCGATTAAGTCTCCTCCTAATCACATCATACCCTCCATTAATGGGTACTACGAAACTCGTGTCCACGAAGTACGTGTGCTTCAATGACTTTCAATTAAATCAATATTCATCGTTTTGGCTGAGGCAGCCGCTTCGGGCTAAATGGCAATGGGGCGACCAAGGCAGCGACTCTTAACTCCGCTCCTTGATTAGACGCGACAACAACTGGCAACATCGGCTACGAGCAACAACAACCGGCAACAGCAGCATGGGAAAATGTGCAATTTTGGCCAAAAATAAATAAGCCAAGCTGGAGGACAGAGGACGGCGGAGATTCGACCTGACCGTCCCTCGGCTCACATTCGTTGCGCAAAAATTGCTGCCTGTGGTCTGATGATTATACACACAAAAAACATTATTTTCTTACAAAGATTCTGAAAATGTAAACATAACTCATATCGTATTCAATAGAATAAAATGTTTTTATATAATGTTTTAAATATTTATATTCTTCAAATAATTTTATTTTATTTTCCGTAAGATAAGAGATTGGCAGGTTATTGTTTTTTAATATTTTGAGGTCAGCTCATACTCGGGGATACCTACAGATCGGAATAGATAATTTATATGAAATTATAAAGGTATACTTTCTAAAACTATTTATTAATCACCATCAAAATTTTCCCCGTGTAGCCAGCAATCAAAGATACACCGGGGAGAGCAGAAAAATAAACATTTGAACTACTAGCCCAGGCCTTTCACAAAAAAAAAGGAGGCGGGCGCCAAATCGCGCGCAAATAATTAATGTTTGGCAATAATCGAAGACACCTTCGGAGGCAGTTGCAACTTTGGCCGGTTGCCAGTTGCCAATTGCCAGTTGCAGGTTGCCAGCTTGCCATTTTGGCCATTTGGGCAGTGGATTTTGAGCCGCGGCAAGTGCAGCCAGCGGGCATGCAAATGAGGCCGAAAGGGAGGCGTCACCTTGCCGGCAAAATATTTTAGCGTATTTTCGTTGTAATTACAGTTGGGTGGAGAGTTATGGGAAGAAAACGTTTGAGACTAAAGTTTATTTTAAAGCCCCGCTGAGCAACAAAATATGACACCAGAAGTTGCACTCACCAAATTGGATATTCAATAGTTATTTGTTAAATATTGGTTTTAATGTCTGTTATTTATTAAGTTTGTAAACAGAAAATGTGTTGTGCATAACTAGTTTCACATGAAATTGAAAAGGAACTGAGATTTAATTATGTTATATTAAATAATGATTTCTCCATAAAATGTTTAGTGTTTTAGATCTTTTAAAAATGTATTTCTATCATAATTGATCGTCTTAAAATGTATAATTATTTTTATTTTAGTAGATCCTATAAGCAATTCAATGAGAAATGAAATGGTGGCCAAAGACAAACCATCCAACCACAATAAAGCAATTAGGTAATAATATTCCACATCATTAGATTTCACTTCCATATGCTGATCACGAAATCCGAAACTCAATAAGTCACTTTGAATTCCATGTCGATAGACATCGTCCTTCATTTTCAAATAAATCCCGCTTTCGAATATTTTTCTCACAAACCAATTGAACAACTCTGAGTAAGGACGACCAAATGCAATCGAAATTTGAAGAGGTTGCTGGTATAGGATATGCGGAAATTTCCGGAAAATAGGAAATCTTAGAAATTGCTGTTGGTGAAGAACAAACTCAATGCGATCAAAAAATCCTGAGTGAATACAGCTTGTATTTAGCTTCCTACGATACATATCTACATTTGCCTCTGATGTGCGAACTATGCGTTTCAGTAGTCCCTTTCGATCGGGAATTAATTGTTCCATAGTTGTCACATCAACATCTATCAAGGGCCAGATTTCATGTGTTTCGTCCAAGTCCTCCCAAGTATTTATTTGTTTTTCGTAAAGTCCTGCAGCCAAATTACTCGAAAGTTGGGCCAGATAAAGATTGGTTAATATAAATCCTGAAGTTGTTAATATTATGAAGAGCAAGAAACGATGATGAGATGGTCGAGTTCCCAATTCACTGCCACATGAGAGATACAATACCAATCGAAAAATAATCATAAAAGCGGAACTAAGGCTTATTTGTCCTCTGGTTAAAATCCTTAAAGCCAATGAGCAGTATATTAACGTTAACAGCCAAGTAATCCAGGTGCTAAATGTAAAGGGTCTGATCAAATAAATGCAGTTAGGCAAGGGCCTTGATGAGGGCACTATAAGACCACAATTCTCCAGATAAAGAATATTTGTCATTGCGAACTTATGAAGTGGTCTGATTAGAAATGGAAAAAAGTCGATAGTACGATTAGCCAAAAGTTCTAGACCATCCTTTACACGTACTACATCCATTAGCCGAACGGATCCATTAAATTGATTTGTAAATTCCAGAACCATCCGAAGCATATATCCCGATAGGATTAACCGGTTATGACGATCTCTAAAGGAAAACGAACGAGGAGCTCCCGCTGTTACAAGTCCACTCGTAATATTATAGCCATTAAAATCTGTTTTATTGCGAGAGTGATCATAAAACTCTTTGACATTATTATAGTGCAAAATCCGAATGTTCTGGTAAGGCATAAAGGTATAGAGTCCTTTCGAATTCGGAATCATTACAAGTATCTCAACAAAACCATTACCAAAGCAATAGCTGAATATTTCTGTTAATTTTTGATACGTTTCTCCGTTATAAAATATTAATACTTGTAGGTAATGATATTTCCATAGCCAGTTTGTAAGATAGTTAAGACCACGATGCAGATACTCATCTTCCAGATACAAAACGGTAAGGGTGCAACTACTGTAGTTTCCTTCCATAACGAGTTGGGTTTTAGTATTTTTAATCCAAAGAGAAGGTATAAAAGGACGTCGGGCTGCTGCCAGGATATCAGAACCATTTCCAAACTCCAAAAACACATTCAGTTCCACTTGGTACAAGTTATTTAGCTCCTGAATGGTTTGACCCAAGCGATTTCCTTCAAACAGAGAAAGACTCTGAAGCGTGTTGAGGTAAAGCAAATCCATTGAAATGACTCTGAAAACCGCAGCTGGGGGCTGCTTTTATAGGCAACATAAGAAAGCCACTAAATGGTATCATTATATAATTACAGTTCCTGATAAAATGCATAGTGCAAAGTATAATTTTAATACATCTAATGGTTAGACAGAGGAATGTAATAGGAAGGGGCAGAATATTACAAGTCATCAACTGACGTAATCAGCTTCAACCCCTGTTTTTGTAGGAGTTTTATAAACATTATTAGAATTATAGAAAACAAATTTTTTTATAAATATAAATATTACTAGTTTCCTGTAGATCCTTTTGTTATGATAAATAAAAGAATCGTTTATTATTTTAGCTTAGCAGGGGCTATTTATTAATGAACACTTGATACAATAGTTTACGGATTACAATGTATTCCTATTATTTGTTGTGTTTAGTAAATTAATATCTCAATCTCTCCACCAAAAAAACGATAGTGCTGACAAGCCATCCCATTCCCAGTAAAATATAGGCGAAGAAATAAAATTCCTTATCGAAGACCTGTTTTTCCCAGGACATTGATTTCCGAAAACTGATTTCACCACTAGAAATTCCCTCAAAACGCGAGTCCCTCTCTAGCTTAGACCAAATGCCCGACTCCCAGATTCGCTTAAGGTAATTGTTAAATAGCTCCACATAAGGCAATCCATGACGAAGAGCCACAAAAACAGGCCTTTGGTCGTAGACCTCCTTTAATGTCTTGAATATCGGCACCCGGAGATACTTTTGCTGATACAGCTCAAATGCAATGCGATCCTCATAGGCCTCATAAACATATGTAGTATTCAGGCTCTTGCGATGTTTGAAGACCTCCTCTATCGAGGTAACTAACGTTATATTTTCAAATTCTTTTTGAATAATACGGGCCTTTATCATGTTGTGTAGTACTCCACCGTCAAAACTTTCCACTAGCAATGTCCGCTTTTCACGGAATAGATCATCAAAGCTGTTAAGTTGTCGTTTAAATAAACCAGTTGTTAAAAAACTGGATAGTTGGGCGGTATATAGATTGATCACAATAAACCCAACTACGAAGAGGACGATGAAAGTGAGTACCTGATTCAATCCTAGATTGAAGTGCCATTTTTTGGTTAGAGGAAGTTGAAACAGCAGCTGGAGCACATCCAGAAAATTCCGGGATAAGGAAGAGTTCTCCCGATCTCTATGTCTTATCCACCAGGTAACCAAAGAGGCATAGATAAAGCTTACAATAAAAGTAATCCAAACTGCATTACCAAAAGGTCGTATGAAGTAGAGGCATTTTGGCAAGGGTTCGGCCCAAGGAACCATTATAAAGGTTTTAATGTTGTACAAGATATGACTGCGGTAGAAAAAATTCCAATCCAATGCGTGTATAATCCGGGGCATCATATCGATTTCACCGTTTGCTAGTGCTTTTAAACCCTTTTTATATGGTATGATCTCCACATTTCCAAATACATGCTTTTCAGTGCCATTGTAGGTATCAATAAACGTTTTGATCAACTTGTACATATAACCAGTATAGATTTTTTCACCTTGACGATTTGTATAGTGAAAACACCGAGGTGTCATCGTTTCCACGGAAATGTGAACCTCCTGTCCATGCAGATTTTTTAAATTTGTCAGGACATGGAATTTTTTCATATCCTCAATTTTATGAATTGTAACTCTGGGATATGGAGTGTAGGTGTAGAGCGTTCCATTCCACAAATTTAGAGCCAGCACATGAAGGAAACCCTTGCTTAAAGCTTGTTGGAAATAAAAATCCATGTTTGAATTAACGATATACAAAACAGGTAGGTGCTGTAGTCCCCATAGTATTTCCTTTATTCTGTTTAAGGTATGGTTATCATAAGATTCTTTGAAACAGGCAATTATCAAAGCACGCTCGTTAAATCTACCCAATAGTTTATTTTGCTGCCCAGAACCATTAAGTAATAATTTCGGCACTTCCTGATCAAATTGTAGCTCCATTCCACCGCAATCCACGTAAATGTTAAGCTGCAACCTCTGATCTTTATTAAGCTGATGTATAACCTCGCTGGCTGACCAACTTGTGGACCTTCCTGAGTACCAGATAATTATTATAAAAATTAGCAAGCGACACATGACGCTGTCCAGCCTGAAAAAAGGACACTGAGAACCGCGATACAAAGACTTTGCGGTTTTAAGGCCTGGTCAAGATCTCTATCGGAAACAATTACATTGCATTGTCAATAAGTTGAAGTTGAAGTGGAAGTCAGAGGCGATGTTGAAGTCGAAGTCCAAGAACAAGTCGTGCGCGGGTGAATCCACTGGGGAAAATATCAATAAATGTTAAAGATTGTCAAAAAAATGTTGAGAATATGTTTTATAATTTATTTACTAGCAGAATTATTGACTAGCAGATTATTTTCATTAGGGTATTCTAAGTCCCTGCTAACTTTTTTTTAGTTATCAATATTTTTCCTACAAACTTTGTTAGCTTTGGAAAAACTTAAACATTTTACTTATTTTAATTTTGTTAATAGTATTAACTTGCAATTTTGATTCTCTTTATAGCTGCATTTTTTTTCAGTGTGTATTGCTTATCGCAGCATCTACCAAATTGCCCCTTTGACCACGACCACGTAAACGTAATTGTTTGCGGTCTGGCTTCGGCAGTTCTAACGTGACCAAACAATTGCTAAATGTCATAGATATTGTTAATAAAATTACATGATTGCATAAATGGGCGCTAAACTGGGCGGTGATCTAAGAAAATTATGTCAGCCAGATGGTATGTGAAAATGAGTGATTCCAAGACGAATCTAAACGCTGATAAATGCAGCTTGTTTATGGGACAAGATGATCAGAAGTTGTGGGGATTTTTTTCAATTTAAAAAAAAAATTTATTGACTCAAGTGTGAGTGTAAAAAAAAAAGTAGAATATATATTCTTTATAATAAATATTTAAAAATTAAGAGTTTAATATATTTGTTATTAAAACTAGTGACTCAAAAGGTATTGTTTAACCCTTTGCTCTGATTAGTTTCAAATGCTGTCAGTGACTTTGACTTTGTTATTTAAGACGGTTGTCATTGTTGTTTTTGAAATCGTTGTTGCAGTGGCTTTTGGCCAGAAACTCGTTAGCCCACAAGAGAGATTAGCCAGGCCAGGCAAAAGCAACAGGCAAACCGCATTGAAATTGAAATCGCTCATAAATTTAGTTGCTAATTGTAAAGAATGGCAGACCTTGGAATTCAAAGAGACAAAACTCATTTCCAATGGCTACTGCAGAATGCGAAAAACACAGCCAAACCGGGCAAAAATGCCTGGCAACAAAATTATGAAGCTGCAGCAACGCCAAACTGGCGAACAGAAATAACAATAAATAAATATAAATTTCAAGCGCAAACATAAAGAGCTATTGACTGTTGACTTTTATGAACAATTAGGCGGCAGCCACTTAAAATGGCCAGCATACTTATGCATATATACGATATAAATGTATCCCCCAGATGCAGATACGCAGCCCCGTCGACGCCGAACAAAAGATACAGATACTCGCACATATAAGCCCGTAACGCTAATCGTATAATGGCTTCTCTATGGGCCTGGCCCAATAATAAAAAACAATTGATTAGATCGACAACTGCAGTCTTAGATATTCTGGAAGTGGGCGTCACCGGGGGGTGGGGCTTAGGTTGGCTAGAGCAGGAGGGAGTCAGGGCATTTGGACTTTAATTAATGCATTCAAAGCATTTATGTAAATGGCGGGAAATAATTTATCACCCATTCAAGACAGCAACAACGAACGGCAACAACGACCAATCAAATGTGGCATCCAAGCAATGCATACAGTAAAAAATCGTATCTTTTAATGGTGTACTAAATGTTATTATCCCAATCAAAAAATAAACAAATAAAATTGTATTTTAAATAACATAACAAATAAATAACAATATAATATTTTCCAATCTCTAGTTTATTTTTTATTACTGCATGAAGTAACCAAACCCATTTAACTGCTAGCTATATAACATTTTTATTTCGTAATAAAAAATAACTCAATTTTAAAAACAGGAATAGATAAGACAATAACGTCTATATTGAGATACATATAATTGTAATTACCGTTTCAATATAACAATAAATTTATTTTCATTCCGTGGGTTTTACTGTGCTTGTCTCTTTTTTCTCATTTGTAACAAAATGTTTTGATATTTCCATTTTTTCTCGATTTCTGTGTTCATTAGTGCAACGCCCACACATTGGGCATTAGGTGGGCGTGGCTGCAGCGAACATTAAAGCGGCAAATCGTTTGATTTTCCCATGATTTCTCGTTGGCTGTTTATGGTTGTTGTAGTTGTCCATGTAATTAGTACTTAATTTATAATTTTTGTACCGCAAAAATTGCAAACCAAATTGCTGAGCAATGTTCTTTGTGTGCAAGTGTGTGCGATTTTGTTTGTTTGAAAAATCGGCGCAAGGTTATAGATACTAGATTCCAGATATGAGCTATAGGAAGGCGGTTCTGTGGGCCGGCCCAAGGCGTTTCTGTGTGGGTGGCTGGAAATTTTCTTGCAAGTCTCCGATTTGTGGAATAAATTCCAATTGTCGGCGGAAATGCAAAATTATTGAACTAAATATGCCACATATTTCTTCACAATAACCTTCTCTTTTTGTCAGCTTTTTTTTTGCCGGCACTTTGCCAACAATTTCCGCAAATTAAAGAACAATTTCTATTTTCCTTGATACCAGATAGCCAAGCGCTTAGCTCACATTGGCCACAATCATTAACTAGAGCTATTATGGAGCCAAGGATACGACGCAGCACCAAGAATTTACTCACATTTCTTCAGAGGCGAAGAGATGCATCGGAAAAATGTACACTGGAAAATATAATGGGAGAGAAATATAAATTTAGATGGGTATTATGTTACATATATATTTTGGAAGGTGACTATAATATATTTACAAATTATAGTAAGATAGAAAAGATAAGGGTACATTCATTGTAAATAAAACTTAAACTAAATTTTTATTTCAGATGGATATTTAAATACTATTTGGAAATTGTAGATATACTATCATATATATACTATATCATATATATAAATATATTATAATCAAAATTTAATTTCAACAATATATTACCATAAAAAAAATATATTATATTTTTAGAAGGGAAAATAATATTAAAATATAAATTGCAAATTTGTTTAGGATGAAAACAGGATAGAAATTTCTATCTTATCTAACATATTTTATTTAATATAATGTACATTCTTTAATTTTTCGGGCAGGTTATTAAGGGGGCTATAATTTACTTACCAATATTTTTAATGGAACACTTAATAGTTTTCCTTCAGTGCACATTAAATCAGGTGGCTGCTTGATGCTCATCCAATCGAGCCATACAATTAAATAACAGTCCAGCAAGATAATGCGACTAACTAGAAATAAATAAACAAGGCAGGCAGGCGCCCAGTGGCAACCACCACCTCGGATGCGAGGATCTCCAGCACCACCGCACCACTGCACCACCGAATCGCGGGGCTCCATCACATCACTCAATCCCCATTGTGGTCGTCAATCAAGGTTGGCCTGTACTTTTAGCCGGACTACTGTGCGTACCCGATGGGAGGGACCGGCTTTGTCTGTCTTTTCCTTGGTCGCGCTGCTCGGAGACCGCATAATGATAGAGCGGACCCGGTGCCTGGCGTTAGCCGGGCTTCTGAGACGGGGCTTACTCAATTACCTTTGACTAAATTATGGCCAATTGTTGCATTGAACATGTGTTGCATAATTACGGGCTGTGGCGGCCACGTACGCTGCAAGTTGGTAGCTGCGAGCTGAAATTTGATTACTGCTTATAGATTAGAGCCGCGGACGGAACGGCGATGGAGTTGCTGAGCGTTACAATGCACTGCAAGAAAATCTAGGTCCAGAAATAGCCCTTCTAAAGTGGGGAAATGCTGTCTAATTTCCTAGGAAGAAATACCAAATTTTTAAATGTAAAACTAATTAAAAATTTATTTTTAAAGTACAATACCTAGAATAAAATATAATCAATACCATTTTTAAGGAACAAGGAAGTATCTGTTAAAGAATTTTAAGAAATTATAGTATATTTTATTTTAAATTATACAACAGTAATAGTAAATATATTATGAATCGCCTTTAGTTTCAAAACTTTTTAAGCCTTTTTGAAATTGTTTCTTTTAAACAAATGACATATATTTGAATATTATTCCTCTTTATTGCTGATATTTTAAAGATGGCCACTTTAGATAACATTTTTCCATTTTCTGATTTTTCCGCAGTGTAGTTAGTAGTTAGTTTTGAACTTGCGCCTTCGGGCCGGCCACTAAATGTGTTGCAAACTTGGCCACGTTGACAGGTTAATGTCCATGGCCAAAAGGGCCAGAGGAGGAGGTGTTTTTCCGAAGGGGAACGAGTGGTATTTTTGGGGTGTGGGATTCTGCGGTTTAGGGCGTGACGCACGACTAAGAAAATCAGTTTTTAGGACGCATGGAAAATGTGTGGAAAACCGGCGACCCACACGTGTTGGCAACATTGTTGTTGCTACCATTGTTGTGGGCCGTGTTTTTTTTTTCTAATATTTCTTTACTTTTTTGTTGGCCGGCAATTAGCGTCGCAACATTTACGAGTGCCAGACAAATTACCGGGCAACTATTGCAATTAAAATAACGGCACGCCAACAACTTTCGCCGCAAATCGCGCAGCAAAAATGTTGCGAGCACGCGTGCAACAAGAAAACAACAAACAAACACGGTTGTTTGTTGCCCGTTTGCCGTGAGTTTATGGCGCAAAACACTTAGCCAAAAGAGCCATACTTCAGAGCCAAACCTTTCGCACACAAATTCAATTTGTTTGCATTTTAATTGTCGTTTGTCGCCGCAGCAGACCAACAAAAAAACGAGAAAGGAAGCTTGATTCTAGCAAGCCGAATATTATATATCCTTTCAGTTTAAGCCGTATTATTTCAGAAATCGATTAAAAAATCTATAATTCAGGGTAGAAGAGAATATAAGCAAAATCATCAAGGCTTTAAAATTTTCACAATATTTTTCCATTATTTTTTATAAAATTTTAAGTCATAATTCTGCAAAAGAGCCATATCC